GTTTTATGTATTTTCTCTTTTTATAAATATGTGTTAACAAAATATCATCACAGTTATGTGTTTTAATTATAATTTGAATGTTTTTGATAATATTAAGCAATCTTTCAAACATCCTCTTTAATGGTCACAAGAATTTCACCATATATACAAACAGTAAATTACGTTATTCACAAGATTGTGGAAGGATGATGGAGAGTGAGAAAAAAAGCGGAAGCAGAAATCTAAGGGGGTTTTCAGTTACCATTTTTTCTGAGAACATTAGGAATATTTTACCACAATTCTTGTTTTATTATGTTTTTTTTTTAACTGAAATTTATTGTAGAATCTTAATTTTCAGAAGCTATTTTACTTACTGGTTGATGGTGTATAGTAGTAAAATGTGAGATAAAATGTTTAATCAAAAATTAGACAAAAGTTTATTTTTTCTGTCATTTTTTTCATGATTCATAGTAAAACCTTTAGAAAATTAGAGGGCGGAAGCAGTAAGGGGTCTCTGACTGTTTTTCCCCCCACAGAGCATGTGCGCTGGCTGGAGAGACAGAAAGAGACAGTGAGAGGGGAAGTGAGAAACCCCCAAGAGACCATTGACCATGCAGCAACCCTTTCTCTTCCATTCTCCTCTAGGGACTTTGGGCATACATGCACATGTACCTGGCATGATTTTCAAGCCACCGGAAACCATGGTTGGCCACATGGGAGTCCAGTATCTTAACTACTATGCCCCTGCTGGCCCCTGGGGTATCTAACTTTTAAAAACCATGAAGTTAAGCTCTTTAGATATGTAGCTAGATGGTAGATAGATAGATAAGACCCATGGTGTGTGTGTGTGTGTGTGTGTGTGTGTGTGTGTGAGCGAGAGAGACAGAGAGAGAGCGATTCTGTTTTTCATGTCTCAGGTCTTGAATTTTAGAAATACAAACTTGGAGAAATTTTGAATATTAGGTGCCACTTTTCTTATTGAGGGAGCTCTTTATGCAGCTGATCTGTGAGGAGCTCTTGAGCATTCAAGTTTCCTACCTTAACTTAGAAATGACACTTCTGGTGGAGGTCACTTCATGTTGGGGCACTAGGATTGCTATGACCTTTTTGGTTCCTGCACTATCAGGATTGGCAGACTTTTCAAAGTTTGACCAAAACTACGTCATCTAACTCTGTAACCCTTTTTCATCTCTAAATTCTCAAATCTGGGGTGGCAGAAATCAGACTTTTTTAAAAAAAGATTTATGTTGAGGCATAATGTGAAGCTATGGGGAGTAATAAGTGACCTGTAATATCAAGTAAAGTTCCTTTATTTTGCCCTCTGAAGTGCTTCATGTGTGTAATAGTTTACATGAACCATTTGGTGATGACATCATTTGTAAATGCCTGGCCTCAAAGTGCTTAAGAAGTGACTCTGTCCCAGTTGGGTCATGACCAATGGAAATCGTTGTCAAAAGCCTTCCTTACTGACAGGAGCAATGATAGTTCTGGGAACCTACCTGCTTAGCTGAAGGCATGTGATACTGGATTGACTCAACAATACTGTACTTTATGAAGCATAACTAGTGATTGCTTCAGAAATTGTGAGTCTTTCCTCTTCTTCCTTATTCTCTTCTTTCTACTTCTTCAATGATAAAATCACCATTCTTAGAAATCTCGATTATTTGGTCAAGATAAGGAGGCTCTTATAGTACCATGTTACATGTTTAATACCCAATACTTACTCAGACCACTGACTACAGGAACAACTTTAAAAATATGAAAGGACTAGCCACTAACTACATTGGCAGCATATGCCTTGAATGGCTCTTATGTACCCAATTGGAGAGTGAGAGGATAATGTGGAGAGTGAAGGGGGCTGAAAGCTTATGGATAACACAGAGAATAAACATGCCAACAAATAAAAAACATTTACTGTGTTTCAAACACTTAAAACCTGTTTGGAAAGACCATAAGAGGAAACAAACATATAGAATCAGCCTAAATGCATATTATTTTCCAGGTTTTATACTTTTAGTGTTCTGACCCGCTCTCATTTCCAAAATTGCTTTTTATTATTTACATGTGATAGTGTGAATTCATGCATACTGCTCTTTTTTTAAAAAAATTTTGTCATTGGGTGTATGCACTTGCCAGAGAGACAGAGAAAGACACACACAGAGAGAATGAGAGACACCCTCTCCCTCTGCCCTGGGGATGGCCACTCCACAATCCTTTCTACTCCATTCTCCTCTTGGGATTTTGGGCACACATGCATACACACCTGGCGTGATTTTCAAGCTGCAGAGTCTGGAACTCAAACTGCAGAGTCGGTTATGTGGGATCCAGATGCCTTCACCTCCAGACCACTTGTTGACCCCCATGCATGTTGTTCTTTACTGCAGGAAACATCAGAGGGAACCATGTAGGCATGGTTCAATAAATAGGTTATTATTATTATTATTATTATTATTATTGGAGAGATTTTTTGCTATAGGGTGTGTGTGCTTGCCAGAGAGATGGAGAGAGAGAAAGTGAGAATCACCCCAAGGTGGGGATGGCTATACCACAATCCCTTCACTATCATCCTCCTCTCAGGATTTTGGGCATGCACACACACACAATTGGTGTGTTTCAAGCTACCAGATCCAGGACTCAAACTGTGGTTGACCATGTGGAAGTCTAGCACCTTAATCACTATGCCACAACTGCTGGCCCCAAAAGTTTTTTTTTTCTTTTTTTGAGAAATTCTTTGCTATAGTGCACATGCACTCACTGGAGAGACAGAGAGAGACAAAGAGACAGGAAGTGAGAAATCACACCCCAGGGGTGATGGGCATGCTGTATTCTCTTCTCCTCCATTCTCCTCTCAGGATTTTGGTCACATATGCACACACTCCACATGTCAGTGTCAAGCCGTCGGGTCTAGTGCTTGAACCATGATTGACTATGTAGGACTCCAGCCACATAATCATTACATCAACTGCTGGTTCCCCCAAATAGATTTTGGATGGGTGCTATGACTTTTGTTTATGTGTCTCCATTTTGTTAATGTGGTGATGAAGGGTACTCTTATTTTAAAGAATTATTTTATTTAATTTTATTCCTCATTATTATTATTATTTTTAATTTGACTGGAGAGAGACAGAGAGAGGAAAAGTGAGAAAGCAAGCCTCCAGGTCCAGCACGCGAACCATTGTCAGTCATGTGGGAGTCTAGCACCTTAACCACAATACCACCTGTTGGTCTGTCACTTTTTTTTTCTTTTAAATAAAAGTGGTCAAGTATACTACCTAAGGGCCATAAGAAGGGAAATCACTAAGGAGACTGTATGTCACTCAGGAATCTCCTCTGGGAGAGAAGCACCTCTGTGAATGAGGTACAGTTTCAAAGAGGCAAGGAATATAGGCCAAATTTGGAGTCCAATGGGAAGGTAAAAAGAGGTAGAGGAGAAAGTTAAAGCTTAAACAGTGTCAAAAAATGGTCCTATACATACAATGTCTCATCTTCATAGCCTGGCTTGCTTCACTTAGCAGTAAATCTTCCATATTCATCCACTTTTTGTCAAAAACCAAGGTCTTGTTTTTTATGGCTGAGTAGTATTCCATAGAGTATATGTGCCACACTTTTTCAATACATTCATCTGTTCATGGGCATTTGGGTTGGCTCCATATCTTAGCAATGTGATTGAATGTATAAAATAAGTTGAAATTAAAAAATTAAAAGAAAAAAATGACCCAATGAGGTCAAGCCTCCCCCCTCCCAGAAGCAGGTATTATGCCCTCTGATCATAGAGAAAGATTTGAACCCAAGGATAATGGTGACTTGCCCATGGTCACACACTTGCCAAATAGAATTAAGACCAGAACTCAAGTCCTTCTTAGGCTTCTCCTTCCTTCTAGTAGAGAAAAGTGGAGGTGGGGATGAATTGCTGGAGAACAACAAGGCAATTAGCTAAAGATAAAAAGGGTGTTTTACAGGATCCTGTAAGATAGGAAGGTATCATCATCTTCAATCAGAAAAGAGCCTTTGGCTACCAGTTAGAAAATCCCCTCGATTGTCCCAATGCTATAAGTCACTAAAACTGAGAGAGGTAAGGTAGGGCCCTTGTGAATGTTGAGCACTAAACTCAATGAGAAGATCCTGGAACAGGATGTTCCCTGTTTTCAGAGTCCCTGCCAGACCAGATATGTATGGATTTGCATTTTGGATAGGGAATTATTGGACCAGTCCCATTTTAGGCAGATCTACTTCCCCCTGGGTGGGGCAGTAGGCCCTATAAAAAGGCCACCAGCTTCACAACCACTAAACTCCTGTTGCTCAAGTCCTGATCTACTTGGAGAACTTGGTGAGTCTGACTTTGAGTTCATGTGTACTTTGGTACTCTCAAATGTTGAATTTATCTGAAGATAGCAAGCTTGGTGGATTTGGGTTTGATGCTACTTAGTTGATGGAAATTTAGGATTCGGGCATAATGATAAACTGTTGTAGCTTTTTTTTGCAGACAGTTTGATAGTTCATATCTATAGACAAAGAAGTTAATAAGAGAGATTTGATTGAAGAAAAGGAAAGAATGAAGTATTTTCCTCTATATATTTTTGTATTCTTTTAAAAGATTTCTGTCTCAGCAGGCACGAGACTTTTGAATTCTCTCTGAACGGATTTGTACCTAAATCAGACTACTAGGATTTTTTTTATGAGAAAATGTAAATAGAAACTGCTTGTGAGATTGGCCAGAGTCTCTAAACTTGTGACTGCCTTTCTTAAAGATAATTACTTTCATTCAAACAAAATTTATTGGTTCTTTATCACAGAGATGTTTTCTTTGGAAAAATGATATGAGAAAAGATAGGACTTTTCCAGGGATGATGAAGCAATTTGCCAAAGTGAAAGAGAGAAACTACAGAGTTATCTTAAAGAATTTAAAAGATTAAAATAGATTCTTATAGATTGGAGAAACAATATTCCATGGTATTACATAAGCAGTGGCTTTTCTCTCTATAGGTCCCTTCTTGTGAACACTGTTATATAATTTCTTTCAGATTCTGAGACCTCAGAAAGATGTCTTATCAACAGGGGCAGTGCAAGCAGCCCTGCCAGCCACCTCCTGTCTGTCCACCCCCAAAGTGCCCTGAGCCATGTCTGCCCCCAAAGTGCCCTGAGCCATGTCCGCCCCCAAAGTGCCCTGAGCCATGTCCACCTCCAAAGTGTCCTGAGCCGTGTCCACCCCCAAAGTGTCCTGAGCCATGTCCACCTCAGCAGTGCCAGCAGAAATGCCCTCCTGTGCAACCTCCCCCACCATGCCAGCAGAAGTGTCCACCCAAGAGCAAGTAATGGCTTCAGGATTCATTAGGATCATGAAAAGAAAAGGATAATCAGCTTATCCAGTTCTGCAGCAACACGCTCATCTTTTTTTCAAAGCCTATCTTGGATACAGAAGGAGCTTCAGCCTTTTTTTTGCTTGTAATCTGACTACAATGAGACCAGACCAAGAAAGTTTCCTTCCTGGGCTATTGCACTGCTCTTCTCCAGGGGGTGACTGAGAAGGGACCTTCTCATTTATGCCAGTATCCTAGAGCTCCAGAAAGAAGAGTGGCAACTCTTTCTGGGTGCCCTCAGAGGATGCTCTTGATGTGTTCTTTATCTTTGTATCACTTGAACAAAAACGGTTACCACTTGGGCACTTGTAACTCTTCCTTCATTTCCTGCATAAAGTAGATTTTTTTGTGATGGGATAAGTATTTTCTTACTTTTAAAATCTGCCGTATTATCAATATCATATAATTCTGGTTTGTTTCTATCCCTCTTTGATCACTAGGTCTAGGTTCTTACAATCAGTGCTGTTTGAATTTTGGGTCATACCCAAGATGATTTCTATATTATTTAAAACCCATGTTATGTTCTTTGATTACTATTCTATGGATTTGAGGAATACATTATTTAAATATTCAGAATTTTCAACTGCAAAGCAAGGACAACAATATTTACATCACAAATTTGTTTTTGAAATAAAATTGAATTAATGCATTTTCTTCGATTGGCACAAAAACCTGGCACATAATTAATACTCAATAACTGAATTAATATCAATAACTGGTAATTTATTAGCAGCCACAGATCATAATGATCTCCATCATGATCATTGCCATCACCAGCACTACTACCACTGTAAGAATGTGTCTTGGACATAACTAGAGTAGGAAATGAGAGTCTCAAATCATATTATCTCTTATATGCTGTCATTTGTTCTTTCTTCTAATTAATCTCATTTTTGTATGTGATATTGCAGATAAAGAGATTTTAGGGACTGATGGAATACCCTGTATAAAATTACAGCAGTTATTCAAGCATGATTAGTACAGAAGAAAGAGAAATAAAAAGAACCTTTAGGTTAAAGTGTCTGCCTCCTCTCAATATGTGCTGCCTTGTTACTCCAACAACACACAAAAGTCAGAGCCCTACCATTTTTTTTTTTTCACCTACGAAATTACTTTCTCAAGTGTTCTGACCTCACATTTGAAAAGTATTGGGTCTTACAGTGTCTATTTAGTTTTGCAAAATTACTGCTGCTATCTATGAGCTTGTTTTCTAGGTGCTTAACCTACTAGTCAAATGAGCTTCTGAAAGGAGGAATATATTATTTCAGTATATTGTCTATTTTTAAAATTTATTTATTCATTCATTCCATGAGTGAGAGAGAGAGAAAGAAGTGACAGATACACCACCCTGACAAGGTCTTAACATGATAATCCACTCCTGGTTTCAACCAACTCAGATCATGCGCACATGTGCTCCCAGCATACTCAGAGCGATCTCCAGACATGAACCATAACCCTCCCACATAGGTCTGCCTTGCAGAGTCCTGCATTCTACCACCACTACCACATGGCATCCTAATATATTCTTCCTGTGGTCTTAGGTGTCCAAAATGGAAATACAAATTAAATGAGAAGGAAGAATTCTCTTCTATTCTACGAAGTTTAAGACATGTTCTACTATTTAATTCCAAAGCCTGTGTATTAAATGATAAATCTCTTAAAGACAGGGTCTGAGCTTCAGTGATTCTCTTAAAATAGTAGAACTTGAGTTCTTTCCAAAGGATACTTAGTTAAATTCTCAATAAATAGGTGCTCTGAAGGACAGATTGTTGAAAAAATGTTCTTATGAGATTGACCAGAATGTCATAAAATGGTTGGATTTGCCTTACTGAGAGTGTCATTTGTAACTACTCAACATTATTACTCCAAAACCAGAGTGACATTTTCTTGTAGTAAATATCATGAGAAAGGAAGTATCTTGCTGGATGAGAACAAATTAGTAATAAGATACTAAAAAGGAAGGGCGGGGAACCCATGTAGTCTCCTAATGACAGTGCTTTGAGATCAAAGGACATTTTTGGAGATGGAAAAGATGAAGGCCCAACTCATTAGATGGGCATTGACTTGCTCAAAGTGCAGTAAAGTTCTTCCTATGAATATTGTCAATGGAGGCTTTTTGTTTATTTACTTTCTTCCTCCTCCTCCTCCTCCTCTTCTTCTTTTTCTTTATTTCCTGAGATATAAGAAGGATCTTCATGGGACCAGCAGTTAGTGTAATGGCTATGTCTCTGGACTCCCATGTAGTCGACCACGGTTCACGTCCCGGACCCAGTGGCTTGAGACTCATGCCGGGCACATGTGCGTGCGTGCCTAAGATCCTGAGAGGAGAGTGGAGGAGAAGGGATTCCGGCATGGCCATCCCCCCTGGGGGGTGATTTCTCACTTTCTATCTGTCTGTCTGGTGAGCACACGTGCCCTATAGCAAAAACTTCTCAAAAAAAAAAAAAAAAGATTTTATGAGCAACAGTAGTGGGCAGTCCTTACAGCCAGCTTCTGTGTCTCATTTTAGTGTCCTAATCCCTTCCCATCTCCAAAATGCTTAAACTCATGCACATCTTGGAAACAGAAAGCAATGACAAGTCCCTTTCCTAGTCCCTAGTAACCAAGTCTGTAGTACACTCAGTTGGAAGAAGAGAAATGAAGCCTTCACTCTGTCTGCAGTGGTGTCCACTTAAAATTAAGTTTCAGATGTCTTGGGATCAAGAAACAAAGTAAGAATGATAGATCTTCACCATAATAATGTTTCCCAAGATATCAGGATAGTCATGATTTTTAAGTGAAAGTACCTCTCCAGAGTGCCATCAGATAGATGTCTCTTCTATCTGAGTTGAACAGCTGATTTCATCATCTGCAGTATTGAGATTTTACTCAGCTTCCCGGAGAAGCTCATGTTTTATGGTGGAACAGAAATTTTCCTCTTTAAACTGTTTTTGTCAATGGTATTGTTTCATACTCAACTGCTTTCTGAATCTGTCTGTCTCTCAACTTGGGTTCTCACAAGCAGTGTAAATATTTAAGGAACTGAGCTTTTACAGTAGGGTGTGGCAGGGACTCTTTCTGTATTGATTTGAATTCATGCTCTGCTATTCATCTGTTGAGTGATTTGGAACTAGACACTTAACTACATTGAAGGTCAATTCCCCTATCTCCAATGAGTAAAAATAACAACCTCATCCTAGGAATGTCTACTGTACAATTAACACAGCAGGATAATTGATATCACCATCATCACCCTACTCACTTTCACAAACATCAGCCGCATATTTGCCCTAGTATGGAAGTGACATATTCAGGGCTTGGTTATGAAATAGGGAAAGTTCTCTAACCTTGGTATCTTTTTATATCATAATAATTCTTTTCCTCCTATGAGGCAATAAAAGATCCAAGATTTTCACTTCTGGGAAGATAAGTTAGATATACCTTTCCCTATTCTTCTTCATAGGTACAGCTTAAAACTCTGAATATTATACATAAAATGATAAGCAGACTCTAGAAGGCGAAGAGAAAGAGGCAGACCAGCTATGGATCTTGCGATCTGAAGAATGGTACAGTGCTGAGTTCTCTTTGTTTTTGCTTTTTGGTGTGTGTTACATATCTCAAATAAGATGATGGAGAGGCTAGAAACACAGAAATGCTGATAGTCACATGTCAGAAAAGCCCAAACAAAAGTTTTTTTTTTTTTTTTTTATGTATTAGGGACAGGGAAAAGGCAGCCTAGCAAGACAGGAAAGTTATAAACAAAAAGTGATCCATTCTAGTGAAATGCCAAAAAAATATTGTGCCCTCTGCTGTTATCCTTGTCAGCAAAAGCTGAGTAGCAAACTTAGCATTCTACCCTTGTCAGGGTGTAGGAGGCATCCAACCTCACTGCCTGGATGATGGTTGAGAAGGCCCAGTAGGGATACAGGACTTCATTTTCACTGGGCGATAATGAGGTGGGCCATTCCTTCTTGTTGGAGTGTTATTAGAGGAGGCTTAGTGGAAATTCAGGATTTTCACCATTACCCAGTGGTAATGAGGCCACCCCTTGTGTCATTGGAGGGTATATGGGGAACAATAATGAAGCACTACTGCTCTTAGGATGGTAGTCAGTCCTACTGGGAAATCAGAGCTCACATTCCCTCTTAGCAATAATGAGTCCTTTTCCTCAGTCATAAATGCAAATTGAGTAGAGAACATGAACTTTGATGGATAGCAACAAGGGAGTACCTGTAGTCTTCCCTTCCTGGAGCAAGGTTAGAAGATGCTAGTTAAACTAGATTTAAATAAGATCTAAGTTTTTTTATTACTTGCGTTAATCCAAAATCCTTTTTTTTTTTTTTTTTGCTGTTACTTTGAGAGTCACAGTAAATTGCTATTAACAATATTCACCCTACTTTACTCTATAACACTTGAAATTATTCTTATTATCTATCCATAATTTTGTTTCCAACAATCAACATTCCTTTATTTCCTTTCTCTTCCTTCCTAGCTTCATCATTCAGTTCTCTTTTTCTATGATGGCATTTTATTTTTAATCAATTTCTACATATGAAACAGAACTTTTTCTTTTTGGTGCCTGGCTTATTTTCACATCATCTAATATCCTTAAGTCTCAACTATTTAATCTCACCTGAAAGGATTTCATTCTTTTCAATAACTAAATAGTATTTTATTGTGTGTATGTGTGTGTATGTACATGGGTGTACATGTGTGAATGTATATGATAGTTTCCCTACCCATTCATGTGTTGATGGGCACTTGGATTGATATATTTCAAAGTAACTGAAAGAGAGGATTTTGAATATTCCCAAAGCAAGTAATGGCAAGTGATTGATATGATGGGGATACTAATTATCTTGATTTAATCATTGCACATTACATTTTCATGCTGAAAAATCCTGTCATAACCTAGAAATATGAATAATTATTACATATTTAAAAATAAAAATGTGGTTCAATTAAACCATAAAATTTACTACTTACAAAACTTAAGTGTTATATATTAAGATTCTAATTACTACCTGGAACATTGCTGAGGTACTAAACAAAACCAGATGTTACCAAATAAAAGAATCACCATCCTTCACCTTCATCTGACTGTAAGTATATAAGACCTAGAACCTAATAATACAGTGACCAAAGGCCCAAGTTTCAATAGAGAATCACTTGGTATATCAAGAACCAGGAAAATATCAACTTGAGTGAGAAAAGGCAACAAATGCCAACACTAAAACAAAAGAGAATCATTTAGAATCATTAAGCAATTTTAAAGCATCCATCATAAAAAATGGTTCAATAAAGAACTATGAACTTACTTGAAACAAATTCAAAAAGAAAATATCAGCAAAGAAACAGACATAAATAAGAACCAAATGGAAAACTTAGAA